ACGATGTTCAACAAGAGGATCCACAGGAGCTGGGGTGGCAGCAAGTTGTACGGCAACAGGTGGTCTGACAGCAGACTGGGCGGCAGCAGCTGGACACACCACAGCTGGGGCGGCAGGTGGTCTGACAGCAGACTGGGCGGCAGCAGCTGGACACACCACAACTGGGGCGGCAGGTGGTCTGACAGCAGACTGGGCGGCAGCAGCTGGACACACTACAGCTGGGGCGGCAGGTGGTCTGGCAGCAGACTGGGCGGCAGCAGCTGGGGCGACAACATGTGGTCTGGCAGCAGGTAGTCTGAGAGCAGGATGGGCGGCAGCAGGTGGTCTGGCAGCAGCTTGGGCGGCAGCAGGTGGTCTGGCAGCAGCTGGGGCTGCAGCAGGTCTCTTGACAGAGGCCTTGATCACAGCCCTGGTCAGAGCAGACAGAGCCACAAGAGCTAATCATGGTGTCAGAAGGTGTCAGAAGGTTCTGGGTAAGTTTCCAAGATGGTAAGTTTTTCAAATGTGGGAGTCCCCTTATCCCATGTCCACTTTTATACTCAGTCGAGGGGCTGATGTCACAATGTAAAAGCTATTTCCTTGTTATTGTTTATCTTAATAGATATGCAATTATCAAGTTAGTTAATTGTGGGGAAAATCTGGATAAAAGTAGAATGAACTTTAATTCTTTCTCTGTGTTAGGGTTTAGCCAATCCAGTCTTTCCTCCTCCGTTGTCTTCTTATATGTGTCATCTAATTTCAAAGACTTGTCATCTTACTCATCCAGTCGATTGTCAGGTGACAGGCTGTCACTTGGAACTCAGCATTCTGTGTGTCATCCTGAAAACTTTGTGTCTCACACCAGTCCTCAAATGATGTTTCTTGTTTTCTAAAGATTCTTCTGAGAAAAATAAACTGTGAAACTACTAGAAGAAAACAGTAGAAATTGTCTTAAAATATTAGAAGTGGAGTGGATTTTAATACAGAAAAACTTAATGGCAATGAAGAAAGGGATTGAAAAAAATTGCAACAGAAAAAAATTTAAATGCCTGATTGAAAAAGAAGAAGGCTAAAGAGCAAACTGGACACAAATAATAATATCTTAGCCAATCTAAAAATAAATGAGCTTATTTTCTTAATGAATGAATACCTCTTACAACTCAATGAGAAAAAAAAAGCTAACATCCAAACAGAAAATTGAGTAAAAGTTATTAATAATCATTTCACTAAAAAAAAAAATTAAATGCATTTTGAGCTTTTGAAAGATGCTTAGTCTCACTCATAATTTAAGGTATTTTAATTAAACAATTTATTCATTCATCAAACCATCTACTGAATACCTACAGTGTGCCAGGTTCTACTGTATGCTCTGGGGATATGGCAGTGAATACCTGCTATTTGTAATGACAAATGTAAAATATTTAAATTTTAAAACTTTAATAAATTAGTGAAAGTCTAAGGAAATGGACATTTTAATACACATTTGGCAGGGATCTAAGTTGAGGCAACTTCTTGAGCTAGTAATTAACAGAATCTTAAATGTAACAGTGTCTTAATTTACCATATTTTGAAATGTGCATGCGTTTTGATTGAGCAGTTTCACTTCTTGAAATGTATTCCACAGATGCACCTATACATATGCTCCAAGATATAAGTTCAAGGATATTCTTTGCAACATTGTTTGCAAGAGTGAAAGCCTGCTTTTAAATTCTGTTGTGGTTATGGAGGGGAAAGCCCTGGATGGAGGAAAGACACACTGGTACTTAGAGGCCGTGAAGCATCACTTCCTTTTTATCATAAGGAAAAAAACTTCTTTGACCTATTCTTGCAATTTTTCTATAAGTTCAAGCTTATGTAAATTTTTTAAAAAGAAATTTGAAATGTTATTTCCTTAGGCCATACCTATCCCAGGCGGATACCCACTTTCCAGTTAGTCTGAATTGTTCAGGAAAGAGGGAGGGGGATGGAAGGAGGGATATGAGAACATATTTAGAATATGTCTTTATGGACGTATTTTATGACAATTTGGGGGTATATATGAAAATTATGAAAATTAAATTTATTAGGCATAAGATGGTATAAAAATATCCATTGCATCTAGACACTGATTTTACTCAGATTCCCCATATCCTTATTTTTCTTCTTCAAATGACCATTTTTGAAATAGTGTGTTAAAGTCTCTGCTATGATTGAGGTTCTATCATTTTCTTGTCGATTTATAACAGGTTTTTTGTACTCAGTTTGAATGTGGCCCAACTGCCTATGGCAGCAAGAGTATTAATATTTTTGCAGACATATTTAATGTAGCATGAGGAAGTCACTATCAAGATCAAAGCACGTGTAGGTATCACAGGCTTGGGATTCTGGTCTAACTGAGCCACAGTTCTATGCTCATTTGTTTGTTTAGTTAGCCCTCTCCGTCTGAAGGCAGGGAAGACAGCTTAGAGATACCCCTTCTCCTTAAAAGGACTATGTTTTCAACATGGTGGTCGACTCCGGCTGGTGGTCAGGAATGAAATTCAGCACCAGGATCGACAGGAGATTGGTGGTCTGGCAGCAGACTGGATGGTAGTAACTGAACCCACAGAAGCGATGGCCACAGCAAGTGGTCCTGCAGCATGGGGTCTGGCAGAAGCTGGGACAGCAGCAGATCTCTTGGCAGAGGTCTTAACCACGCCTCTGGTGAGAGCAGAAGGAGCCACAGCAGGAGCTGACCACAGTGGAGTCACTGGGTGTGGGTTTTCAGTAGCATAAGGTACTAGAGTTCATAAGCCTTCTTCCTTCTGAGTTTTCTTCTCTACCCTGCTGAGGACTTGCCATTACCATGCCCTGGGTTATTTTCTTGATATTGTTTATCATACTTAAAGAGAAATTATCAGATATTCTGACTGAAGCATGACATTGTGACAGTTAGCCTTGGTTTTTAAAGGTAATTTTCATTTAATCAGCTAGTTATCCCTAAAGGCACCATTTTTCTTCCTTTTTTGTTTTAGTATCATCTCATCCATTCTCTCGTATTCTTTTTAGAGTGTTATTTGATATTCTGAGCATAGAACGAGTCATTCTTTCATGTTCCAACCATTTAATTTCCTGTGGGAAATTTAATACCCAAAAAATCAGACCCCAGTACATTATAGCAAATAGCTGGTAATGAAATCCGCATAGTACACTTGTAAATTATGAAGAAGCTAAAAAATATTTAAGGCATGTGGCTTCAAATTTAACTTGCTCAAAACAGAATTACTCATTCTGTTTCTTTTCCAAACCAATGTCCTAATTCTTCAGTTCTATTATAAATGGTTGTTAGTTCAAATTTTCAAGCTAGGGCTGTATGTAGTGGCTCATTGCCTATAATCCCAGCACTTTGGGAGTCTGAGGCAGGTGGTGAATCACCTGAGGTCAGGAGTTTGAGACCAGCCTGGCCAACATGGTGAAAGCCCATCTCTACTAAAAATACAAAAAATTAGCCTGGAGTGGTAGCACATGCTTGTACTCCCAGCTACTCAGCAGGCTGAGGCAGGAGGATTGCTTGAACCCAGTACTCAGAGGTTGCAGTGAACCAAGATCATGCCACTGCACTCCAGCCTGGGCAACAGAGTGAGACTCTGTCTCAAAAAAAGGGAAAAAAAGGCTAGTAAATGTACAGATTTTCATTCAATAACCATGGGTTGGTTCCCGCTATGTGCCAGACCCATTCTCAGGATGGAGACACTAGTGAAAAATACTCCACCTCATCCCCTCCTTCACTATAACTTCATTCTGACTTAATGAACTGCACCAGATCACTTTACAGGATGAAATGGCAATGCCGTTACCCATACGCTGGACCAACAAGCAGGGGCTTTGCACCTTTGCACCTAAGGTCAGCTTGCCTCAGAAGCAGAGATGGCAGAAATTCCTAGCCACAATTTAAGTCAGAACAAATCAAGTTGTATCAAAAGACCATTTTGTTGCCAGCGAAAATAAGAGACTATTTCCAAAGATTAGTCAGATGTGGAAATTGCTAAGCATCCAAAATATTATACAACTTATTCTGTCTTTTCCACATTAATACACATGATGGAGTCATTCTCGTCCCTTTTGTTCCTGCATTTAAAACACACAATGGTGTTTGTATTTTTAAACTACAATTCAAAGCAAAATATTTTAGTTGTCAGACTAACTGCTTTTAAACTTTTCTTTTCACCACTAAATGTAAACATCATGTACCCAGGTATGTTTGTACTCAGGGCCATCAACAGATGTGGAGTTCAGCATGGAAAAGATTATGTCAATTACAATTGAACCCAGACCCTCGTTGCAGGAAATGAGATACCCAAGTGGAGTTGCTGTTACTATTAGAATTACCATCACTGAATCTATATTTGTGTGACACAGATGAAAAATTTCATGGAATATAAATTGCAACTCAAAATATTTTAAAATATGATTTTCATTTGTCACCTTTACTAAGATGTTCTAGTGCTGGATGGAAAAAGTAGGTGGTGACAATAGTTCTGGCCCCTTCATGTCAGTTGTCAGGGATCAGTCAATGTACTCTATCTTAAAGAATGACAATTCAGGGGAGGCACAGTGGCTTATTCCTTTAATCTCATCACTCTGGGAGGCTGAGGTGGGAGAATCACTTGAGTCCAGGAGTTCAAGGCCACAATGAGCTGTGATCACACCATTGCACACCAGCCTGAGTGACAGAGCAAAATCTGGTCTCTAAAATAACAATAAAATAATAATAAATAAAAATATATACTTTATAGTTGAATGATGCTATTGATGTTGATCACCTCTCTCCCTTCTGGAAACAAATTCTTATGGGTTATCTATTATTAAGTAGAACAATCATTTATTTTCAGAAGACTCATAACACTTAAGAAACACTTCCTCCCAGGGCAATTCCCCATAGGTCGTGAAAAATAATGTCATAAATAATAACCAGGAAAATTCTGCTCATTGGTCCCACATTTGGGAATCAGTGTATAAAAGATCCAGATTAGAAGGGGTCATCAGATTCTGGGAAACTCACCTCTGAACAGGAGCCCACCCTCTACCCCTGACACCATGACCCACTGCTGCTCCCCTTGCTGCCAGCCTATGTGCTGCCGGACCACCTGCTGTAGGACCAGCTGCTGGGAGCCCACCTGTGTGACCAGCTGCAGCAGCACACCCTGCTGCCAGCCCTCCTGCTGTGTATCCAGCTGCTGCCAGCCTTGCTGCCGCCCAACTTGCTGTCAAAACACCTGCTGCGGGACCACCTGCTGCCAGCCCACCTGTGTGACCACCTGCTGCCAGCCCACCTGTGTGACCACCTGCTGCCAGCCTTCCTGCTGCAGCACACCCTGCTGCCAGCCCACCTGCTGCGGGTCCAGCTGCTGTGGCCAAACCAGCTGTGGGTCCTGCTGTGGCCAGAACAGCTCCTGTGCACCTGTGTACTGCACGAGAACCTGCTACCACCCCACGTGTGTCTGCCTGCCTGGTTGCCTGAACCAGAGCTGTGGATCCAGCTGCTGCCAGCCTTGCTGCCGCCCAACTTGCTGTCAAAACACCTGCTGCAGGACCACCTGCTGCCAGCCCACCTGTGTGTCCAGCTGCTGCCAGCCTTCCTGCTGCAGCACACCCTGCTGCCAGCCCACCTGTGTGACCAGCTGCTGCCAGCCTTCCTGCTGCAGCACACCCTGCTGCCAGCCCACCTGCTGTGGGTCCAGCTGCTACCAGCCTACCTGTGGGTCCAGCTGCTGCCAATCTTGCTGCCGCCCAACTTGCTGTCAAACCACCTGCTGCAGGACCACCTGCTGCCAGCCCACCTGTGGGTCCAACTGCTGCTAGTCTTGCTGCCACCCAACATGCTGTCAAACCACTTGTAGAACCACCTGCTGCCAGCCCACCTGCTGCCAACCATCCTGTGTGACCAGCTGCTGCAGCACACCCTGTTGCCAGCCAACCTGCAGTGGCTGCTGTAGCCAAACCTGCAATGAGTCCAGCTAAGCTTTTCTGAGAAACAACATTCTGACACAGAACTTTGTGACCATCTTCTTCCTACCATGCTTGGGATTCTACTGAAGGTATACAGTCTACTTCTCTTTAATGTTATTCTTCTTCATTTCCTCTGGATTAATGTACCTGAAGGTGGTCAGTCAGCTTCACCTAATTGACATGGATACATGGTCTAAGCCTCAGGAAGTGATCATCAGCTTTTGACCCTATGCAACTTAAAAATAAATTCTTATGACTGCATATCTAACTCTCTATAATGATCATCCTTTTAGATATATGCATTTTATTCAGTAACCTCTGCCAGATTGCTAAACTCTTTTGTGATTGCTTTTAATTGTCTCCCTACCTAGTCTTTCCTAATAAAATTTACATTATCCTGCGTTCTATGGTATGATTTTGTTTCATTTGTGTTTGCAGCAGTTCCTTTATGAAGCCTTACTTTTGAGTTCTGCTTTATATTGATTATCTCATTCAAGTCTCACAATGACCTACAAGTTAGAGCAAACATTTTAGTGCTGAGAAAATGACTTGCCATACAACTGCCAATTAACAGAAGGTCCAATGACCAGGTCCTTTGATCTTTTACTTTTTTAAACTTTTTTTTACATATGTATACGACAGTGATGATTGAGTGCAGGGAAGACATTCTAAGTCACTTCTCAAGCAAGCACGTTTCTATCTATGAAGCAAATACTCTCCCCCCTCTACTACCATTAGAGACACCTTTAAGAACTCTAGGAATGCTTTTACAGTGTTGGTGGGAGTGTGAATTAGTTCAACCACTGTTGAAGACTGTGTGGCTATTCCTCAAAGATCTAGAACTAGAAATACCATTTGACCCAGCAGTCCCTTTACTGGGTATATACCAGAAGGATTATAAACCACTCTACTATAAAGACATGCGTGTTGCAGCACTATTTACAATAGCAAAGACTTGGAACCAACTAAAATGTCCATCAATGATAGATTGGACAGGGAAAATGTGGCACATACACAGGAATACTGTAATTACTGTAAATGTGGCACATATACGTGGAATACTATGCAGCCATAAAAAAGAATGTGATCATGTTCTTTGCAGGAACATGGATGAAGCTGGAAGTCATCATTCTCAGCAAACTAACACAGGAACAGAAAACCAAACATGGCATCTTCTCATTCATAAGTGGGAGTTGAACAGTGAGAACACATGGACACAGGAAGGGGAACATCACACACCAGGGCCTGTCGGGGGTTGGGGACAAGGAGAGGTAGACCATTAGGACTAATAGGAAATGCATGCGGGGCTTAAAACCTAGATGATGGGTTGATAGGTACAGCAAACCACCATGGCACATGTATACCTGTGTAACAAACCTGCACATTCTGCACATGTATCCCAGAACTTCAAGTAAAATAAAAAATAAAAATAAAAAAAAATTTTTTAAAGAGTTCTAGTCCATGAAAAGAGCTTTACATCTCTGGATTCTGATCCACCACTAAAGAATCTGTCACCAACAACTAGTGTGAGCACCACGGGTGTTCCTGGCCCTACCCTCACCAAGAGGAACCCCCTCTTTGCTGTCATGGTTGAGCATGTGGGTATCATTTCATTCCTCTTAACAGAAATTAGGATTAAGAATTACCTTTGTAAAGCACTCAAGATTGGACGATGCTTCCTGGATTCCCAAACTTTGGGCCAATTTTGTTTCCTAACATGAACTTTGTTAAGGGAAGATGAATTTGTACAGAATCCTAAGAATTAAGGTTACCATGCAATGGACTTATGTCCTTTGATCTAATCATAATCTCTGGGCCATAAAAGGAAACAAAATAACTTCCTGTGTTGTGTGAGATAAAGAAGATAAAGACAATTATGCGAAAGGAAGACAAAATAAGAGTTTTCAGAAAAAAGGGAGAAATGGTAGAAAGAAGAAAATGAGAAGAAATTATGCACTATTTAAAGTCAAGAGGGGCATTAGGCTGGTTCCCAAATGGAGGAACCTGGGAATTCTGATGAGAAGCTGAGTAAGAAAGAGAATAGCCAGGGGATGCAGCAGTACAAGGGCGAATTCAGCTTTGGGATGACACTTAAAGGTTTTGACTGTGGCCACCTTCTTTAGAGGACATAAAGGTGCTTTCGGTGAGTTAACCACTAGATGTGACAGACGTATGACCTTCCTAGAGGATGTATCTGGAATTCTCTGCCAGGTTATTAAACTTTCCAATGGGGGAATGAATGGGTGAGTTGCTGACACTTACTGGGACCCTGCTATACACTAAGTATTGAGGTAGTTGCTTCATCCACACTCTCTCTCATTCCCATGCAATCCCAAAAGGTAGGTGTTAGTGGCTCCACATTCAAGCTAAGGAAATCAGTGTTGAGGGAGTTAAAGCAATGTGCATGTGTTGCACAAATAATACAACATTTTTCTGCTTTCCAAAACAAAGCTGTTTGGGGGAAGTACTGGTGAAAGGAGAGATATAGATCAAAGGAGACAAGACTTTTACACATATATTATCACATACTTTTCTTTCCTTTTAAAAACACATACTGAAGTAAAATCATGCTAACATCTGAAGTCCTCTCAGAATGGAGTACAGATATTATGAATCCAGATTCATCAGGAAGTCAGGATTTTTTTTTATTTAAGAAGTTTATGGTGGGAATGTAAACTAATATGAGCACTGTGGAAAACAGTGTGGAGATTCCTTAAAGAACTAAAAGTAGATCTACCACTTGATCTAGCAATCCTAATACTGGTTATCTACCTAGAGGAACAGAACTCATTATACGAAGAAGATACTTGCACATGCATGTTTATAGTTGCACAATTCACAATTGCAAAAATATGGAACCAGTCCAGATGCCATCAAAGGGTGGATAAAGAAACAGTTGTATGTACGATGAAATATTACTCAGCCATTAAAATGAATGAATTCATGGCACTCACAGCAATCTGGATGAAATGGGAGACTATTATTCTAAGTGAAGTAACTCAGGAATGGAAAAACAAACCTAAAATCTTGTAAGTGGGAACTAAGCTATGAGGATGCAAAGGCATAAGAATGATACAATGGTCTTTGGGGACTCAGGGGAAAAGATGGGAGGGGGTGAGGGATAAAAGACTATAAATTGGGTTCAGTATATACTACTTGGGTGATGGGTGCACCAAAATCTCACAGATCACCACTAAAGAATGTACTCATGTAACCAAATACCATCTGTTCCCCCAAAAACTTATGGAAATACATTTTTAAAAAAAAGAAGCTGCTCAGCTCTATCTGACGCATGATCTCATGGTAACAGTGGAAGTGGTCAGATGTTTGACCAATCTCCAAAACCCATGTTCTTCTAACTTTTAAAGATAAAATGCTTCTTAAAACTATTTCAGCTGGGTGCGGTGGCTCATGCCTATAATCCCAGCACTTTGGGAGGTCAAGGTGGATGGATCACCTGAGATCAGGAATTCAAGACCAGTTTGGCCAACATGGTGAACACTCCCACCCCATCTCTACTAAAAACACAAAAGAATTAGCCAGGAGTGGTGGCATGCACCTGCAATCCCAGGTACTCGGGAGGCTGAGGTAGGGGAATCACTTGAACCAGGGAGGTGGAGGTTGCAGTGAGCTGAGATTGTGCCACTGCACTCCAGTCTGGGCGACAGAGCAAGATTCATCTCAAAAAAAAAAAAAAAACATTTCTTATTTTCTTAAATTGAATTTATAATTAAAACTTTTATTTTAAAAGAATAGAGATTTGCATGCAGTTGTAAGATGTGATACAAGAAATCCATGTACGCTTTGCCCAGTTTTCCCCAATAGTAATATCCTCCAAAACTGTAGAAAAACATTGTCTCCAGATATGATACTGATATTGACATAGCCAATGTACAACACATTGTCACCACGACAATCTCTTTCAATTGTTCTTTTATAGCCACATTCACCTCCCTCCCACACCCACTCCCTTCTTAACACCTGGCAACCAAGGATGTTATGTAAAAGGAATCATACAGTACTTAACATTTTGAGACGGGTTTTATCAACACAGCATAAGTCCCTGAAAATTTAAACAGATTATTGAACAGTTTTTCCTTTTTGTTGCTGAGAAGTATTCTCTGAGATGTATCTACCACAGTTTGACCACGTGTTGAAGGACTTCTGGGTCGCTTCCTGTTTCAAACCATCACAAACAACCATAAACATTCATGTACAAAGTTTGTGTGAACAAGTACAGTTACTGAGTTGTATGGTAATTGCACGTTTAATTATTTTTTTTTACAGAGTCTCACTCTGTCACCTAGGCTGGAGTGCAGTGGCATGATCTGGGCTCACTGCAACCTCCACCTCCCGGGTTCCAAAGATTCTCCCACTTCAGCCTCCCAAGTAGCTGGGATTGTGGGCATGGTGGTGCATCCCTGGCCTCAAGTGATCTGCCTGCCTGATTTCCAAAGTGCTGGGATTACAGGCGTGAGCCACTGTGCCTGGCCAGCATGTTGAATTTTTAAGCAACAGCATCAACTGTTTTCCAGAGTGTTTACACCATTTTGCATGTATAAGTGTTTTTGTTTCTTTGCACACTCACCAGCATTTTATTTCAGCCGTTCTGATAGATGTGCTAGCTCATTGTGGTTTTAGTTTGCATTTCCCTAAGGGCTAATGACGTGGAACATCTTTTCACATGCTTATTCGTCATCTGTATATCTTCTTCCATGAAATCTTTCTTCATGTCTTTTGTTCATGCTGTAATTTCGCTGTTTGTTTTCTAGCTGTTCAGTTTTTGAAGTTATATATTCTAGATACCAGTCCTTTGTCAAATATGTGATTTGCAAATATGTATCATGTATAGTTTGCAGCTTGTCTTTTGCAGAACAGAGGATGTCTTTCACCGAGGCTGGAGTGCAGTGGCACAATCTCTGCTCACTGCAACCTCCGCCTGCCAATTTCAAGTGATTCTCCTGCCTCAGCCTCCCTAGTAGCTGGGATTACAGGCACCCCACACACACACGCACACACACCATGCCTGGCTAATATTTTTTAATTTTACTTTTAGTAGAGATGGGGTTTCGCCATGTTGGCCTCAAACTCCTGACCTCGTGATCTGCCCACCTTGGCTTCCCAAAGTGCTAGGATTACAGGCATGAGCCACAACATTTAGCCAGAACATAATTTTTAAAAATCAATTTATTAATTTTTCTTTAATGGATTATGTTTTTGGTGCTACCTAAGAACTCTTTGATCTTACATGCTAAAGATTTTCTCCTATTTTTTTCTAAAAGTTTTATCATTTTACATTTTATATTTAAGTTTGTAATTCATTTTGAGTTAATTTTTATGGTTTTTCCCCCTCTAGATGTCTAATTGCTCTA